TTCGGGTTCATCTTGTTTGGGACTCTCTGTGCTTGTGTGACTTTTTTCTTCCCCACCGCAGGGAAGTTTTCTGATATTATTTCTTCCAATAGGTTTTCTAACCATTGTTCCTCTTTCTGTTGTTCTGGCACCCCTATTATTCGTATGTTGTTTCGTTTCATGTTGTCCCATATCTCCCTTAGGTTCTCCTCCTGTCTCTTAATTTTTTTCTCCAATTGTAGTTCGGTTTGGGTGTGTTTTGTTTCCCTGTTTTCTAATTCTCCACTTCTCCTAGTCTACTGTTGAAAATTTCAATGGTGTTTTTGGTTTTTTAAAAAATATATTTTATTGATTTTTTATAGAGAGGAAGGGAGAGGGATAGAGAGTTAGAAATACCGATGAGAGAGAAACATTGATCAGCTGCCTCCTACACACTACCCACTGGGGATGTGCCCGCAACCAAGGTACATGCCCTTGACCGGAATTGAACCTGGGACCCTTGAGTCTGCGAGCCGACGCTCTATCCGCTGAGCCAAACCGGTTAGGGCTCAATGGTGTTTTTTATTGCAACTATATCACTCTTCATTTCTTCTTGATTCTTACATAAGTTGTTGATTTTTTCATCTGTTTCTTCTTGAATCTTGCATAAGTTGTTGATTTTTCCCTCCATCTGGTTTATGCACTCTAGGACCCTTAATCGGAGTTCTTTTTCTGACATGTTGCATGCCTGTTTCACTTAGCTGCTTTTCTGGCGAGTCCTCCTCTTCTTTCCTCTGGGGGTTTCTTTGTCTACCTATGTTTGATTTCACTGACAGATCTAGATGTTGAGTCGTTCAGGGGCTGTTCCTTGGGTGGCTGTGGCTCCCCGGGCTGCAGTTGCTCCTCGGGTGGTTGTGGTAGCAGTTGCTCCTCAGTTGGCAGCAGCTCCTCTGGTGGGTGCTGTTCATAGCCGTGGTGGCTCCTCTGGCTGGTTGGGGGAGGCTTCTCACACAGCTGCTGTTCCTCAGACAGAAGGTGTACTGATCACAAGGCTGCTGTTCCTTGGATGCGGGCAGGCTACACACACAGCTGCTACTCCTGAACTGGGGCAGACTGCTCACGTGGCTGCTGTTCCTTGAATGAGGGCTGGCTGCACGCTGCTGTTGTTCCTCTGATTTGGTGGGCTGCTTGTGGGGCTACTGCTCCTTGGACTTGGAGAGGTTGATCGCAAGTCTGCTGCTCCTTGGATGGGGGTGGGCTGCTTGCACGGCTGTTTCTCTTTGGACAGGAGTGAGCTGCACGCGTCGCTGCTCCTCCTCTCCAGGTGCCTGGTTATGTGGCTTGCTCTCTAGCACTTTAGCCAGACAGGATAAAATTCACCTTAACAAGACATGACTCAAGGGGAACAAAGCATGAATGTACTCATGACACCGATCACCCCAATATAAGTGACCACCTGAGAAAAGAGAATTAGGGGAGAAAAAAGAGAGTACAAATGATATCTAAGAGAGAGAGAAAAAAAAAAGAGAAAAAAAAAGATAGGAGAGAAAAGAAAAAGGAGAAAAAAAGATAGGAGATAAAAGAAAAAGGTGAATATATATATATATATATATATATATATATATATATATATATATGGAGAAAACACCACAGAACCAATAGATAAACCAAATAAATACAAACACCAAACACCCAGTAAAGAGGGTGGGGGAAGAATCTGTAGGGACTGAGCTGATATACAGGAAATAAGGTTAAGAATTGGATAAATGTGGGGAGGACCTCACTTCAGTATAGCGGAGGTAGAAAAGGGATGAATGGATAAGAAGAGACAGAAAGGGAACAAAATAATATATTTACAAAAAAATTGATTTAAAAAAATGGTATAAAAATAGAAAATAACAAGTAAAAATAAAACAAAATTGAATGATGAAAAAATAACGTGAAAAGAAGTAGAAAATAAAGCAACAAACAAAAAAGGAGAACAAAGAAAAAAGCAAAAAAAAGAGCTAATAAAATAATAATAAAAAACAAAAATGAAAAATTGAAATGTCATTCCTTTGGCTGGCTTAAGATCCCTGAACTGTTTTAAAAATAAAAAAATCTGGGCAAACCTGATTTTTAATTCCAAGCTTCTGTAGGCATTTGTTTTGCAGAAGTACGAATGCTGCTCGATTATTGTTTACTGAGTAACAATTCAATGTAAATTAAGATGACAGCATTTCTTTGAAGAAAAAAAATGAAAATGAAATGAAAAAAAGCTGATCCTAAGATATGGGAAGATTGTTTCTATTCCAATTGAGGGGGACTATCAGCCATATCTTGTGTCGCTGATCTGGTTACCACAGGGCCATCTTTCTGTTGTTGTCTTCGCTGCGGGAGTGAAAAGGCACTGAAACTGTAGGGGAGCTGCTCAGGGCGTGGGCGAGCAGAAGGCGGTTTGGGTGGCTTTCCCTGGGAAAGTGCCTCGCAGCCTGCAGGCGGGTTCTTTAGCTCTAAGTGAAACACGCCTCAGGGTTCAGTACTGATGTGCCCGCCACAAACACGGTGGGATTCCAAGTCGCCCCCAAAGAGATGCCAAGAAGCACTGAGATCATTTCACTCCTCAAGTCAAGAGAGGCCTGATCCGATCCAGGACAGTGGAAAACGCACTGAGTATGCCTGGCTGGTGCATATTTTTCCTCTGTTTTAGCCTAATTCTACTTGACAAGATGAAGATTCATGCATCTCTGGGTTAATTATTTTGTTACAAAGCACACTGACAACAGAAGGAGTATGGCCCTCTGGCGAGGCCACCTCACGGGATCACAGCGAACAAGGACCTGGTCAGCTCAGGAAGCTCCCAGGCCCAGCAGTGCTCTGCTCACCGCACCCTCTACTTTCTGGAAATAGAGTCTTAGTGGCCTTGAAACCACAACTAGAAAAGGGGAGAGTTGAAACAGTCACACTTTTACCTCCCGGATACCTCTAATTCAGGGGCACCGCTCTCCCATCCAGGCCATTCTTGTCAGATGGCACGATTGCAAATGGACACTTGATGCTGCTCTTCCCCACTTGCTACACGGGCTGGAGTTAACCTTTAAAAAGGTGCATCTGGCCACGTCACCTTGTGCTCATGAGCCTTCATGGCCTCCCCACCGCTGAGATGAAAGAGTAAATCCTGAACAGGACACACAAGTGCTTTCTGTTCTCTGCCCTTCCCTGTCCTTCGTCTCCTGCTCTGTGGTTGGGTCCACACTGGGCTCCTTTCAGTTCCGTGAATGAGCCACACCTCCTTGCCTGTGGGCTCGGACTTGCTGTTCCTTCTCTCTCCGGCTACAAGTACTTCAGGTCTCAGCTTATGTAAGTTCTTCCTCAGGAAGAAATTCCTGGACCCCGTGCACTGTCAGGCGCTCCTTCTTCTGTGGCCCCACAGCCATCCGTGTGGTCTGCCACCATAGCAGCCACCCAGCCTCCTTCCTGTGATGTGACCTTCTTTCCTGCTGGACGGGTGTCCAATCCCTTAAGGGCGTGAATGGAACAAAGCCAAAGGAAGAGCAATGCTCTCTTCTTCTTTTTTTCTTTTTATAATTCTCTCTTCTTTCGAGCTGGGCTGTCCATCTCCTTCGCTCAGACAGCAGATGGAGCTCCTGGTTCGTGGGCCTTCCGACTCCGGGACCCACACACATGGGCCCCTGGTTCTCGGGCCTTGGCCTCAGACTGAGCTGCACCATCGTCTCCCTTGCTTCTCGGGCATTTGGACGCAGACTGAATGCTGCCCCCGACTTTCCTGGCTCTTTAGGGTGCAGGTGGCAGAGTGTGCGGCGTTTCGGTCTCCACACTGGCCTGAGTCAATTCCTATTGTCAATCTCCCCTTGTTTTTACTCAGATATAGGCTATTGTTTCTCTGGAGAAGCCTAATATATAGGTACAAAAACTCCCAAACTCCGTTCACTTTTCACCAGTTACGCCAATAAAGCCTTCAGGACAACGAGCTCTGAACCAGGGTTACACTGTACTTACTGGACACGTCCCTTTCGCCTCCTTCGTCCCGAAGCTGTATTTTCAGTCTTCCTTTGACTTTCATCACCTTCAAGTTTTTGAAGATTACAGGCCCGTCATCTTGTGGACCAGCCCTCTTTTGGGGGTTCGTGTGACATTTCCCCTAATATGTAAGACACGCATTTTTGGCAGAAATACTACAGAAGTGGTTCTGTCGCCCCTGATGCTGATTCGTTCGGTCATTAGGGACCTTAATGAGCAGAGACAAATCTGGATGGCCCTGAAGGTCGTCTCCTTCCCTCTCCTCACAGCAGAGCTCACAGCCGCCCAGGCAGGGCTGAGCAGGTCGGTGGAGACAAAACCTTGGCCAGTCAAGGCTCCTGGTGGGCCAAGGCCTCCGAGCTGCCCCCTGCCCTGGGAATGCCGACTTCCCAGCACTGTACCTGGGGGCCCTGGATCTATTTCTCATTATTTAGAGACACCAGGAGTTCCCTAACCCCATTGGTCAACATAGAGACATGCAGCGCCTGTGGGGTGGTGCCCACTTCTGTCGGGCTCTGCTGGCCGAGGCAGGCCTTGTCTTGCTGGCCCCTGAGGCAGGCCTTGTCTTGCTGGCCCCTGGCCATGGTGCTCAGACAATAGCTACACTTGGCCTATGCTGAGTGATAATGAATGTCGGGGGACAGTGTGCACTCTGCCACTTCTCTGCATATGTTTCCCCCGCTGAACCCCAGGTTATAGCTGCACCATGTGGCCTTAGCGGTGTGTCTGTGACGCCTTGGGAGACAGTTAGCTTTGTATACTTGAGTAAGGTGGTGTCGGCTAGATTCTCTTTTATAAAGTTCTCATTTTTGAAAGAAGGATTTTATGGGGAGATGCTTTGGACCTATGTAAATAGTTCATTGCTTGTCCAACTTTTATCCACTGGATATAGCATACATTGATATTTCTTATCTGATGATTGCCAAATAGTGATTTTTAATTCCATTATTTCTTGGCTGCATTCTACTGTATGTATGAGCTATCTCTTCTCCCCATTGATTTATTCAATAAAAAAATATCCGTGTGGGCTCGTGGGTTACACTTTATTACATGGGCCATCTCCTCCTTTTATAATTTATTTTGATGCTCAAATTGCCCCAGACGTGGCCCCTTCACGATGGCTGCTTTGTCTTTTTGAGATGTCTCCATCATTCCTTGTGCATTTCATACTTTCTGACACAGTAAGATGCTCCAGGCTCATCTCTATGGCACTTCAAATACATTTACATTTATCGTTATAGCTACGTACACTGCAAACCTTGAATCACATCAATACCTCTGATTCCAGTCCAGTCACACAGCCTCCTTGTTCTTCGTGTTACTGGGCTTGCAACCCCTTCTCCGCAGCGAGACACCTGGCTCGCGTTTTCCTCTGTGTGGCCCCTCCATGCAATCTGCCGCCTGGCTTTGGAGGCCGCCCTGCTTCCTTGTTTGGGGTCTGACCCCCACACTAGCCCGACTTCCTAGCTGAATATGGGCGTGGCTGTATTATCCTGTGTAGACAGAGAAGCAGAGAGAACAAATTAGGAGAGAGAGAGAGAGAGAGAGAGAGAGAGAGAGATATGAAGCAGACACATGGGGAAAATCACAGAAGGACATGAGGAGTATCTTTTGGGTTTCTGGGCACTTCCTAACCCTGGTCCTAGTCCTTGGCTAAGATGTAGCTGTATTCCTGGTCCTGGCTTTGTGAGAAACTGACATCCTAATGATAAATTCTTCCCTTTCCATTAAGCTACTTCAGGCTGGTTTCTGTTACAAACAGAGAATCTTTTTTTTTTTTTTTTTTAAATCCTCACCCAAGGGTATTTTTCCATTGATCTTTTAGAGAGAGAGAGTGGAAGAGAGAGGGAAAGACAGAGAGAAACATTGATGTGAAAGAAACACATCGACTGGTTGCCTCCTGTACATGCCCAGACTAGGGCCTGGGCCGGGGAGGAGCCTGCAACCAGGCACATGCCCTTGACCATAATTGAACTTGGGACGCTTTGGTCCACAGGCCAATGCTCTATCCATTGAGCCACACCGGCTAGGGCTTAAACAAAGGTGTATTTATATCCTGCCTTGTTCTATAAAAAAACAAAACAAACTGAAATATAGTCAGGGCAAGGAGGAAATAAAAATTAACCCACAGAAAATGCTTACCACATGGTACTGTACTGTTTAATATGGGCTGGAATATTAGCGCTAAGCTTTTTAGTGATCTCAACCAAGTATGAAACACTATCCCTTACAAGATTTCTTCTCCAGATTTAAAGCATGAGCAACTGGAAGATGAATAGATACACCACTGGGACCAAAGAGTCTAGAAGGGAACGCTTCAGCAAATGGGCAGTAATGGCACGCTGTGTAGCGTCTGGAAGAAATATTAATTTGGATCCATACCTCACCCCATATACCGAGTCAGTTCCAAATGGACCGATGTTTAATTACAAAAGACTGGAAGTCTAAGTGCCCATCAATAGAGCATTAGTTAAATAAATTATGTCATATTCCTACAATAAAATGCTATGGGAATTGAAAAAAAAATAATGAGGAGCTCTGTATATACTGCTATAGACATATTTTTGATACATTAAGTAATAAAAAGCAAAATGTAATACTTGGGTGTGACATGCAACTACTTTTGTAAATTGGGAGATGTCTCGGCTTCTATAGGCATAAAAAGATTACCTAGAAGAATGAGCAAAAATAGTGGTTATGTGTTTGGGTATGGAGACAGGTGTGGGGGAGAGATTCTTTTAACTGTATATCTTTTTTTTTTAACTGTATATCTTCTTATGCTTTCTGATGGATGAACCATATAAATACTTAATTTTTTAAAAAAAAATTTGATGAAAATCAGACAAACTAGCTGATGAAGTCCAGCTAGTTTTGACCAACTCAGAGGACAGCAGGAGGGGCTGGAAGTGAAGCTGCCCACACATTCCCACTGCCGGGGAGGGGGGGTGTGGCCATCCCCACCCTGGGTGCCTTCCTTTCCCATAAAGGATGATCTCCCCAAAGCCTTTCCATGTGTTACTGGGGAGGTCTACGGCCCACAGTGCTTGCCATGTAGGAAACATTACTTTTAGAGAAGTCTTCCAAGAGCATTCTATTTCCTCATTTTACCCATGAACAGTCCACGCTTACTAGTAGGTGAGTTTACAGCAACTATATGATCAACATGGGCGCGCAGGCGCGATGAGCACCCCAGCGTCACAGCCAGAACACCCGGGTTCAAATCTCAGTTGTCTACGTCTTAGCTGTTCAGTCGCCGGAGGTTTTTTGTTTTGTTCCTCTTAATAGGGGTGGGGGGCAATGACTGCACAGACCTCGCAGGGCCCATGGAAAGATCACCCGCTTGCATCAGCCGGTCCCATAGCGACATAACTGGAGCCACACGAAGCATCGCCATTCTTCTCGCACTCACATTTTAGAAGGACGCAAATGAAACGAATATTTACTCCAATATATCAGAAAGCATTACCACTTCAACATGCAATAAATATCAACATTACTGGTGAGATGTTTTACACCCTTTTTTGGTAACGGACACACACATCCGAGCTGCAGCCAGCGCGTCTCCACGGGAGTAGCTTAGCCTAAGAGTTCCGTATTGAACCTTGCTGACCTCGGCAGCGCCCAGCACACAGTAGGTGCTACGCTTGGGCACCGAAGCACCTATCGGGTGCCTCTGGAAGCGATGTCTGCATTTTGGGGTACATTAGTAGGATTTTCCTTAAGCCGGTCACTCGGCCTTCTCATTTTAACCCACAGCCACAAGGCATGGTGCCGGGTAGCAACCTGTGCAATGAACACTTTACGTACGTGGGGCCACTGTCCCCTCTCGTCTGCGGGTGGGTGGGGGTGGGAGGTGGTCTCTGTGGTCCCGCCAAATGCGGAGGACCCCGAGCCAGGAGCGGGGTGGAAAGCGGCCGAGCGGGAAGGTCTTTAAAACGCGGGAGGGGAGTGGGAAAAGGCCACGTTTAGGGGCGATGGCTGCCACGCAGGGCAGCAAGGGCGGCGGGCGAATCCGAGCGCCCGGAGGTCCTGCCCCGCCGGGCGGGGAGCGCCTGCAGCCCACGAGGCCGCGCGGCGCTGGAACGGCCCGGGCCCGGCCGCCGCTGGGCCGCAGCCCCCGCCTCAGCCCCCGCGCCGCGCCCGCCGTCTCCGGGCTCCTGATTGGCTGAGGGGCCGGGGTTAACCTTTCACCGCCGCGCGCCGTCCAATCACAGGCTCGCTCTCAGCCGGCGCGGGGAGCGGCGCGGCGCGGCGGCCGGGGCGGCGTGGGCGCCCGTGGGATTCTCCAAGCGGCCGTGCGCCGTTGCCGCGGGCCGTGCGCGGGCTGCGGGCGAGCCGGGCGCTGCGCAGTCTCCGCAGGCGCCGGCGGGAGGGGTCGAGGCGGACGCGCGGCGCGGCGCGGGCTGCAGCGGGCCCAGGTGAATGGAGTAGCCTGACAGCGGGGACGCGGCGCCGGCGAGCGGGAGGAAATGGCGGCGGCGGCGGCGCCGGGCGGCACCGGGAGGCCTGGGCTGTGACGCACGCGCCGGAGCGGGGTCCGATGGTTCTCGAAGGCCCGCGGCGCCCCGTGCTGCAGGTGAGGCGGGCTCTCGCGGCGCCGCTTTGTGTCCCGGGCGGGGAGCGCTGCGCCCGGCCCCGCACCCGGCCCGCGTGGGCGCCCCGGCCCTGGGCCCGCGCTCAGGCCTGGCGCGTGGGGCGGGGACGGCGCGGCCTGCAGGGCTGTGCGCTGGCCCGACCCTGGCGCCCCTTCCGAGTGGCCGCTTTGGAGGGACGTGGTGCGGTCGCCCCGGCTCTGGTTGGGGGGGCCGCGGGCCGCCCTTGGGGAGCGGGGTTTGACAGGTCCGGGGACGCGCACCGGCTGCGGCGGGACGGGCCGCGGCGCCCTCGGGGCTTCCTGGGACCAGCGGCGGCGGTCACTGCTGTGGCCGCAGCGGACACCCGCGGGAGGGCCGGGGGTGGAGGGGGAGGACGCGGGGCTGCGGGGTGCTGCTGGCAGGAAGCGCGGGCCTTCGGGGCGCCCGGCGGGACCGGGAGGACTGTTCCCGTCCGCTGGCGGGTGACCAGCTCCGGGGCCGGGGCCGGCAGCCGAGGCCATCTTCCCGCGCCTCCCCGCCCCTCCCCGGCGATGTTTCTGCGCTAGAACTTGTGGTCCCCGCCTCGAGCCTCTCCCGCGGGCTTGTAATCTGCGGGGAATCAGCGTGAGCTTCAGCCCCGCGTCAGGTTTGCGGAGATGACCCGGAGGCGCCCGGCGGCCCGCCGGCCTGGCCCGCAGCGCAGGCCCCACAGGCCAGCAGCATGTCTGCCAGCAGTCTGCCGGGGCCTGCAGCTGTGCAGGGAGCAGGTGAGAGCCAGCCTCGCCCTGCAGTGTTCAGGGAGCGTTTTGGTGCAGAAAGTCAGGCTGAAAACGCCCGCGTGACCGGTCCACGTAAGCCTTAAGTGTTCCTACCACGGGCGAGCGCGGTTTATGGACATGGATTCGGTGTAAGGACATCGATTCGGTGTAAGGACATGGATTCCGTGTAAGGACATCGATTCGGTTTAAGGACATCGATTCGGTTTAAGGACATTCCTTCGTCTGATCCAAGAGCCCTTCCTTGGAAGCAGGCGCCTGCTTCCTGAGGTGCTTGGTCCTTGGAGCTTTCTGCATCGTCACCATTCGGATTTCCCGTTGTCTTCGTGTTGCTTGTCCCTCAAGTGCAGTGCACAGCGCATGGAAAAGGGCAGAAGTTAGGTACCTTGGAAATGAGGGAATTTTTAAAAAAATGTGCTTTAATGCAAGGTTAACGCAGTTGAAAAACGTGTTGATGTAAACATTAACATTTGTCAGTAAAAATACTCGCCTTAACCAAGAGCTCCGATAATTTATTACAGGATGGATGCGGGTGTGGGATTCTGGAGGAGGTGGCTTGTGAATAGTAATTTGGGCATCACTGATTCCTGCAGGAACTAGGCTCTGGAAGCATCGGCCTATTTCGCCAGGTGGTGTCTTTCAAACTAGATAGCTACACGTGCACGTGCATACTTTACAGGGAATACATGCCACATATATGCACACACATATAGTTATTTCAAAACTTGATGTAGGACATATTTTATAAAATGTCTATAGATCAGAGACACTAAAGATTGCTTTTAATATGATCACTTGAAGCACTTAAATGGTAATGTTGGTGTGTGGGTTTATTCATGGCAACAAAATGCCATTTGAACCGTTTGAAGAAAAGATGTGTTAGTTACATTTAATTTGGGGAGAGAAGACTTTTCCTGCACTTGTTTCAGGGAGGGCTTGCTCCTCACGCTGCCTTTGCCTCGTCGCAGGTGGAGTTCTGTCTCCCGCACCCCGCTTGTGGCTCTGTGTGGGGACTGTGCAGCGAGGTGGTTTTGCCATTGCTGAGTGTTACTCTCCTGGTTTTCGAGGACATTTCATTGTCGTCTGGCTTCATCTGACTTGGTGGTGATTCTGTGGTGGTGTGTGTTGGCCGGTGCGCTCGGCGTCACCTAGGAAGGAGGGCTTACGGCATTGCACTGTTCGTTCCCTGCCACCGTCCAACGTGGGCGATGCTTGTTTCCCTTGAGAAAGTAGACATTTCATAGATACTCTCTCACTTGTGACCTTAACACCTTGCGGTCATTACTTGTGGCAAAGGAGAGAAGTGACCCTGAGGCACTGTCCTTACTTTACATACAGAGGTAATTGCCTGGAGTTGAGTCTGGACGTGGCCGAGCAGGACTGATGGTGTGGTTTCAGAGCCCTTGCACGGTGCTCTGTCCCTTGCATTACGCTGGTGTTCTAAGTGGATTGTGGAGGAGGAGCCGTAGCATGGGCAGGAAGTCCTCAGTTGATGCTTGTTGTTGAATGAAGGAAACGCTGTGTAACCTACATGTTCAGGTGACCTCTCATCTGAGTATTTCAGTTTTTTCCTGTGCTAAATATATGTAACTAATTTTATCACTAAATATATATAACTAATTTGATCACTAAATATATATAACTAATTTGATCACTTTAACCAGTTTTCAGTGTATGGTTTTATGGCGTGAAGTACACACACATTGTTTTGCAACCATCAGCACCATCATCTCCAGAACTTTTTCTTCTCCCTCAACTGAAACTCTGCCCCATTAGACACTAACTCTCACTCCACCCTCCTTCCAGCCCAGGCAGCCATCATTCTATTTCTCTATGAATGTGACTACTCTTGGAACCTCACACAAGTGGGATCATACAATGTTTGTCCTTTTGTGACTGGTGTATTTCACTTAAGCTTCTTCAGGGTTCATTTATGTTGTAGCATGTGTCAGGATTTCCTTTTTAAGGCTGAATAATGGTTCATTGTATGTGCATATACCACATTTTATTTATCCATTCATCCGTAGGTGGACACCTGGGTTGTTGCTTCTGCATTTTGGCTTTATGAATAGTTCGTGTGTGTGTGTGTGTGTGTGTGTGTGTTTTGTTTTTTTTCATCTTAACCCAAGGACATGCTTAGAGATAGGGGTGGCAGGAGAGAGGGGGAGGCGCGGGGAGGGAGGGAGGGAGAGAGAGAGAGAGAGAGAGAGAGAGAGAGAGAGAGAGAGAGAGAGAGAGAGGAAGAAACCAGTGTGAGAGAGATACATCGATTGGTTGTTTTCCATACATGCACCAACCAGGGATCCAACCCACAACTCAGGTATGTGCCTTGACCTGGCAACCTATCAGTGCATAGGATGATGCTCAATCAATTGTCACCCCAGCTGGGCCAGTTCATCAAAATACTGGACTCAGATTTTTTTAAAAAATACATTTTTTATTGATTTTTACAGAGAGAAAGAGAGGGATAAAGAGAGTTAGAAATATCGATCAACTGCCTTCTGCATGCCCCCTACTGGGGACTGAGCCTGCAACCAAGGTACATCCCTTGACTGGAATCAAACTTGGGACCCTTCCATCTGAGGGCTGATGCTCTGTCCACTGAGCCAAACCAGTGAGGGCTGGACTCAGATTTTATCGCAATATGAACTTTCTCAGGGCTCTCCTGAAAGTTACACTTTCCTACAAACGGTTCCTCTTTGTCAAGAAAAGACTTTAATCTCCTTAAGACCCAGGATTGACTCATTTTTATGATCTCAGTTCCTGGCAAGTGGATATTCAAATAACTGAGCTTCTTCAGCTGAGCAGTCATGGCGCTAGGCTGTGCTCTTGGCTGCCGGAGGAGGACACTGGGAGGGTCCGTGTCTGCCTTGGGTAAATTGTAAGTTGGAGCCATATGGTTTGTCTTGTTTACCTTATGCTCTGCTTTTTTGAACATTCAAGAGTTTAGGTCATTGTAAAAGGTCAATGCATGTATATATTTTATTATCTGTCTACTTTGAGAAAGGGTTTGAGATGGTTTTACTATAACAGGTGTGTGAAAGGACTGGAAATGGTAAGGGTTGAGAGGTACAGTGTGGAGGAGGCTGGAGGGAATTAGACGAGAAGCTGAGGGCAAGGGGAGCTCGGCATCTGCATGTAGCTAAAGGTTTTTTTTAAAAATCTAAATTGTTAGTCAAAGTGAAAGAGGAAACAGTACTAATTATAGTTGGCATTGATTAATGAAAGGAAGTATACCAATTAACCAGGAGAAGCAGACTTTTCTCTTGTATGAAGAATACGTAACTGTTTAAATTCGCATATAAAATGACATTAATATGTGGACAAAATGTTTTACGAGTGATAGAGAAACATTTTTCACATGCCATTGTAGAGAAACTAGGTAAAAGCCTCGGGCAGAATAGAAAAGCCTTAGTAATACGGGTGTACCTCATTCTGGTGATCGGATTTATTAGAGTTTAGTTCATTTATCTCCCAGATGATTTTCCTGAAATATCAGCGTCTCATTCAGTTGTCTTTTGACAGATACTGAGTGACAGTCTCTTTACGAATGAACTCATTTCTGGACAGGATAGGCAGGCAGGAGTTCCCAGATTTTCACTGCCAGGCTTTGGGAATGAACGTGTGTTGGCCTAAAAAGCAGGGCTGCTTTCGTGGAGGTGTGTCCTCAGTGAGTGAATGCAGAGGAAGTGATACAGCTGATCCTTGAGCAACGTGGGGTTAAAGGGCGCTGATCTCCTCACCCCTGCCTCGAATACCAAAATCCTTGGTGCTCAAGTTCCCTGTGTGTAATGACCCTCTGCAACCGTGGATCAAAAACAGTACAGGTATTTGTTGCATAAAAATCTGTATAAGTGTACCCTCTTTGTGATGTTCGAGGGTCAACTGTATTTTTTAGGTCTAGCTGATGAAATTAAAATTTTCAGTAATGTAAGAAGGCCTTTGTTAAAACAAACTCTGAGTACAAAATGTCTTTCCTATTTATCTAAAATTGTCAGTTCTCTTAATATGTGAAGTTGCTTAGGGCAAGGATAGCTTAGCATCATTTAAATACATGACTAGGAAGATGCCATAAGAAAGCATTGCTTGAGGTTGTCTATAAGATTTACTAGAGATAAGACATGAAATACTTAAATTTTGGCCTTAGTGTTTGATTTTTGAGACTTGTAGTGACATTAAATGTCTGTGTTAAGGTTTATAGAATAATAAGGATGGACTAGAACAGT